CATCTTTGGCACCTGTGAAAGACTTCATGAAGCCCTCTCTATGCCAACAGTATTCAAGATTTTGAAAGTCACTATAAGTTTAGCTAAAATCGAGTTAGATTTCAGATAAACCCCACCCATTGCTTAAAAAGTGAAATTTCTTAATGAATTCCTTAGACTTATTGCATTGGGGGAAAAGTTCCGAGCTCTTGGACAGCACAAGCGAGATGGTATTGACAGGTTCTGCCTTTGATAAGCGTGCACAGCACTGAGTCTCTAGAAAAAGAAACAATTTGTTTTCTTCCCCTCAGAAAATTGAGAGTAGCTGGGAGAAAATGTTTCTCTAAAAGCGTATGACCTTATTGAAGAATACTTCAGTAAGAACCGAACTGACAGACCTTGCAATCAAAATCATGTAGCGAAATAATAACAGTATCTTAAACAGGATTAAAATATAATATTTTACTAGGTATTTCAAAGAATAGATTTTTTTTTTCCTTCCATCATTCTTATCTGTATATTCAGACTCTAGCTAAACTCCAAACAGCTATTTTTTGTTAGGTACCAAGTGCAAATATGCCAAGATAAAAGAGTTAGGAGAAAGAAATACCCGGTCTTTTTTTTTTTTTTTTCCCCCTTGTGTGGTAGGCTACGTTGCATTTCTCATGCCTAAAAACAAGCACCGTCTCTCAAAATATTTGGTCGGAAACCTCAGCTTGAAAAGGAGGTATTTGACAGAAATGTCACATTTACATCGGCATAACATGCGAACGGCTTCTAGAGACAAACATTAGGAGGAATCTCGTGGAGGAGAACCTGTGCAAGGGGAAAACAAACACAATCACAGCAGCAGAAGTCCATTTCCTGCCAGGGCAGAACCAACAGCCATCGTCATCCAGATCTTGTGGTGAAACTTCAACTACAGTAACAGGGAAAGAAGGATGCTGCCAACCATTTCCTTCCTAATTGCACATGTTTATCTGTCGACCCTTCCTATCTTTTGAGAGGTATCCATAGTGTTCTCACAACTACTTTGGTCTTATCCTGAAAGAAAAGTTTGCACAATACAACAGGACACTTTTCTCGTGTGAATACGGATCGTCGTCTTTTCTTTCCTATATCACATTGGAGAAAAATACTTTGCTCTGTATTGCGAGTGTCTTTTAGGTATTGGTGATCATGAACAGTGGCACTTCTCAGCTCCCTACTGAAGTCGTAACACAATGCACTCACTGCTTTGAGGTGCAAATAGAAATTATAAGCAGGTGCCAAAATTTATGGAGTGTATTTTACAAGTAATGCTTACTTAAAGTTTCTGAAACAATTCTCTGTGTGTGTTCCGACACCCTTTGCCCTTCACAGATCTGTTCATGCAGATTAGACTCATAAAATATTCACTTTTTATCCTCTTTGCCGTAATCCATTTGTCTCTTCAGCAGGTTTATGTTCAACACTATTGGCATGGAATGGTGATTGTACCATTTAACCCAACAGCTAGCTGGGCTTGAAAACGTATCCATCCCCTTCCTATTAATTACTCTTTAATGCCTGTTTCTATCACACAGACTCGTGTATCATCCTGGTTTATTTTGGAGGAATATAGCCATAGGATGACAATTATTGATGGAGCATAAAAACTGGAGCTAAAGACCGTATAAAGAAGAAAACAGAACTGATGTGGGAAGAGATGAAAAGATGAAAAATTGACTAGAGAAGAAAATTGGAATGAGCTAATTTACAAAAGAAAATGAACAAACCACGGCCAGGTAACTCTGAATAAGATTAATTGCTACACATTTCCTTCCTCTTTGCAATTTTTATCTTATTTAATCTTCTATTCCACTTTTCTGTGTAACAGTGCTATACTCTTATAAACTCTGATTCCACTCTTCCCTAAGTTTGCTAGCTGGGTGCTGAGCGAGATCCTCTGTTTGCATAAACTGGTATATCGCTACCGACTTCGTATCGTTACTCAAATTTAAGCCAGCCGAGGATTTGCTCCATTGACTTCCATGGATTTATTTTTAATTTATTACTCTGAGTTCAGAATCAAGAGCTCTGGATATAAATCTTGAACATAAATAGACAATTTCCAAATCTAAACAGTATAGCCACAAATACCATACAGAAAAACAAGCTAGGCATGTATAGAACTGTCTCAAAAGTTAACCAAATGTTGCTGTGCATTTATTAGTAGTTTACTGTTTATTAAACAATAAATCAAGATCCAAAAAAACTAATTAATTTAAACGAAGTATTGTTTAGTGAAATGGGAGCCTGTCAAAATAGTTGTTGGGGAGGACAATTAATTGGTACAAATGTGAGTGCAAATTTTGTTTTTAAACTTTAAAGCGTGTCGTTTGTAGTATACAACGTATGTGCACGATACAAATTTCATACATTTTCCTCAGTGACAATAAAAAGCGCAGTTTATTATAAACTGAAGTAAAAATTAAAATAATAATAATAAAAAAAAAAAATCACAGTTTTGTCATTGGTATGTGAAGGTTGTTCCAAGGGCCCATCCAGAGCTCCTCTTCATCTGACTGTGTGTGTTCACTGTGCGACTCCAAGGGCTCTTTGACATCCTCGTTATCAACAACCGATTCTTGCTCTTCTGTGCTTTTCATTTTGGAGCCCCCCTGCTTTGTTACTACATTTTCGGCCCCTATAGTAGAGGAAGCAAACGAGACGCTGCAAGGTCTTGTGTTCATTTTATCACTAGAAGATGGTCCCTTTGACAACGTGTTCAGTGGGACATTCTCCTCATGTGTCACTGCAAGCTTGTCCAGTTTCTTGAATTGTTTCCCCAGCCTCACTGGAGATGTGACTTTTAAATTATTACCAAGGCAAACACGACGGGTTCTGACAACAGAGCCATTCTGTGCAATGTAGATGTTACCGTTGATGTTGTTTTGAATATTCGGGTTATTAAGACGATTCCTCTGGCTGGAATCAGGAGCGCTGTCTTCTCCAGTGGAGCTGGTCTCATACTCTGGGTCGACTATCAGCTTGATCCTTTTCTTCCGGGCCCACTGTTTGACAATAAATAGAAATGTCGTTAAATCTCAGCACTATTTCTTACAGTTTCCTGACCTTTTGCTATCTGTTAGCTACACACTCATAGGAATTTTTATTAACGTGGTCTTTTGTACCCTTCCTTTTAGGTTGTACACAGATATTTCTTAATTGTTTTCATTACCACTGTGTGCCAGTTTGTGTGAACACTCAAGCAATTCTTTGTACTAAGAAGTTACAAGAAAGATAAACTCATTTTAGTCTGTGAACTGCATAATACGAGTCAGAGTGTATAAAAAACGTGATTTTTTTTGTTTCAGGTTTGGAAAGGAGTGACAAACTTGTGGGGTTTTTTGGGTTTGTTTTTTTTCCCCCCCGCTAAAGATGCATTCAGCTGTGCTCCCATTAAGCCAAAGTGCACCTTCTTTGGAGAATTCTGAGGACGGAGACATTACTTTCTGAAAGAAAGCTTCTGCAAGTCATGATATTGGTAAGCCAATCATATTTTGACAAAGCAATGTCTCAGTCTGTCTTACAGAGAGAGATGAAAGCCAACTAGATTAATTACCCCTTCTAACAGAAACTGGGAGGCACTGATGATGAAGCCTTTGTCTAAGTGATAGTTCTAAGCAACTAGTGTACTAATGGGTAAATGCTAGGAAGGCCTTAGAAGTTTTCTCCCAGAGTATTACTACGTTGTAAATTCAGTGCAGAAATGGCATTGAGCAGGTGTGTTTTATATGCACAACACATCAAGCAGAGAAAGATTTCGGGACCTACACAAGGGAAATCCTCAGGCATGATGTTGGCAAAATTGGCTGGTTAAAAAAGAGAAAAGCTTGATATAAGGCTTTGTGCCAGTTCCAATCTAGTGGGATCAATGGAGATGTTTTGCTATCGAATGGAAGATGGTGGAGAAATGAGACTTTAGATTCTATATATTTTATATATTTTTTCTGAAGAGTTAATGCAAACAATTTCCATGTTGCTGTGACTTTGTACTAATAGTGATTACACAAAACCCATTACTTCTTTTAATTTATAATTGATCTTTTTAAAATAAATGCCTCCTTGCAGTACACTGAAACAAGCTACTATCATTCTTGAATTAATAATGAAAAAACTGTTATTTCACTAAGGCAGCAGATACCATCACATTTAACTCCCACTGCAATACATACACATGCACACAAAAGCCAGTTAGAGAAAGAAAATCATGCAACGTACAAACGCGTGATGATTACTTTTAAGCTTTTGAGAAGTTACACTTTGTACAAATTACTCAAAGACCTATTCTTGCGTTCCTGATAAAGACATATAATTTTTCTTCACACAGATATATTCAGGTGGATGAAAAGATTGACTTGTTTAAATGGGATTTACGTTAAAGCACTGTGGGCAGCTACAACTTTCTGCTATATGGGAATACAAAAAAGTAGGTAAGTGATCATAAATCTAGTTCATATTGCAACTGGAATTAAAGACAATAGTTGAAAAGTTAGTATCACGCTTTGCAGCTCAGCACCAATTGTCCTGCCAAGGAAACACCACGGCAGACTCAAGTATCTTAAAAATTCAAACATTTTTCTCTCCCTCGTCTAACAGAGACTTCCTGGCAGAGCTTTGGTGCATATGCCAGAATTTGCACCAGCTTTAAAGCACCCACTCACAAGACTAATCCAATACTGGCTCAAGGCTTTGTTTTTATTTAGGCTTCTTATGGCTTATCTGGATAAATCTAGTGGTTGAGAAACAGCTCTGTGGGTTTTGGTACAAGGTAAATAATGCACAGATAGCTCGTGTGTATACAGAGCTTGCATACTCTCTGGGCTGACAGCGCGGATAAGAGCTCCATGAGGAAGTACGTCATGCAGAGGTTGCTGCTTATATGAAAACACAAAGGCCACTTGTGCTTTCCGTAACAGAAGTCCTTCCTACGTAATAGCACTCATTCTGAGTGGAACTGTGCTAATGAAAGTGCTACAAGATTTCGCTATTGAATGACATCAGATATTCCAGGTTACTGAATTTTAAAAGGCAGATACCAAAATATAGAACATAGGCAATGGTTACCTTCAGCAACACTGTGCTGTTACACATCTCAAACTTTTAGATAGATGTTTAAAAAAATAAATAAATAAAATCACTGTACTGTTAGGTGGGAGGGGCAGAAGTTGGAGAATGTAATCGATTTCCTTTTCTGACCAAGCTCACTTCGTACAGCCATCCGTGCATCCCTGTCCAGTACATCACTGGTACCTGAAACCCGAATCCCATGATCCAGAAACAGTTTAATCCCAGCTGTGCTAGTAATACTCTGCAGGTTTGGGAGAGTTCCTTCACTGCAATTTCAGTTGTCCCCCCTGCAAACAGGGCTGATGTTTACAGCAGAGAACTCATTTGAAGATGAGCAAATGCTGTACAGGTAGGGGAACAGAAGGTGAAACCATGTATGACTTCTGAGTCTTTTCATCCTCATCATCATTCCTGTTCTTCACCAAATTCTATGTTTTGCCCCTTTTCCTTCCTGCAGCTTTCCACTTTGTGACAGACATAACCTGCATGAACGTAAGGCCTTTAATACGTTTGTGCCATCAGGTTCATCAAGCTATCCGTCACAGCTAATGCGAAATGCAATGTTACTCTGCTTCACAACGTGCATAATGCAAAAAGGATTAAATCTAAGAATCAACACAATGCCTCTTTAACTACATTATTGAAATTAGCAGAGAAAAAGAAGTACTCCTTCCCGCCATTGCTTGATGAAAATTAATCTTTCTATATCCACCACTAAGTATACCCGAGTAGTCTCTCAGAGGAACTTTGTTAGTTTGGTTTTCTACAGTTCTATCCCTAAGATAGCATACAGGGCACAAATGCTGAAGCAATAAGCTTTGACATTTTCTTTTTGGCTCTCTCGAGTCAAGTGTGTATTGCTTAGGAAAGACCACACAGAAAGCACAGCAAACAAGATCACTCCTTACTGCAAAACGTCCACCTACTGTCACTCCTTTTTAAAAGGATGTAGAATCACCAGTAGTCTCTGACTCCGTAACGGCAGCATCCAGGGCCTCATTTGACCAAGACTGACTGTTTTCCTGGGACATCTTTTCTCTTATTTTCTTTCTTTTCATGTTGGTGTCTGAACTTTGATTCTCAGTATCAGGGGAAGTTGCGGTTTTACCAGAAGTGGCACTAGTTGTGCTTTTTGTCCCTTCAGTACCTTTGGAAGTAACACTGATTTGACTTTCTAGGCAAGAAGATTCATTCTTACTGATAGTATCCTCCCTGTCACTAGCATCTGTATCAACCTCTTCTGTGCCTTCATCCGTGCTATCCTCACCATTAGTAGCTGATTCTCCTCTCTTGTCTTCTTCAGTAGCAGCAGTTTTTGCACTGGCAGACGTTTCAGACACTGCCGTATTTGCGTTATCTGCCGTCTCATTGAGGCTTGCGCTGACTTGCTCCACATCCCCTTGTTCATCTTCTTCTGACACCTCTTCTATCGTGTCTTCTATTTCAAGGCTGGCGGAGGAGGTTTTGCTCCTATAGCTGGATCCTGAAGTTTTCCGGTAGCTCGTGTCCCTGTCACTACCTGATGCATTAGAGCTAATAGTTGATTTCTGGCTGGATCGCCTTGCTCTGCCACGAGAGCTACCTCCCCTACTTTTTACACTGGACCTTTCAGTGCTTCTTCTACTGCTGGACTCACTAGTCCCTGATTTGCTGTACGAACTTCGCGTAGATGAGCTCTTTGACAGGCTACCATCTTCATCACTGTCAGAGTCTTCCTCATCATCGTCCTCTTCAGATGAGTCCTCCTCTGATTCGCTGCTAGAGCTAGATCCAGAGTCGTCATCAGAATCCCCCAAATCATGCCCCGTCTCTTCATCCGAGTCCACAGTACTTTCAGTGGCTTCATCCTGGTCCAGAGTTACTTTCAAGTAGTCTTTATCTTCTGACTCTGAACCAGAGCTACTACTCTTCATGGATGACTCATCTGAGGTGTATTTTCTTCTCCTCCTTTTCTTCTTCTCATAATCACTATCCTCATGTTCACTCTCTGCTGTGATATTTATTGAAACGCCTGATTTTGCTTCATCTCTTTCATATTCTTCCTCTCCTTTTCCTCTTGCATGCACTGAATCTTTGCGAATAGGCTCTTGAAATTTTCTGGAGACACTAATGCGTTTCAACACATGATTTAGTTTTCTCATGGAAGGTCTGTCATCTGTCAGTTTCTGGAAGTAGCTTCCCCTGATAATCATGCTTTTCTCACTGTCCACTTGGCGAGCTGACATCAACTTGGCATAACTGGAATCTTTCCTACCGCCTTTTACTTTCTGCAGAATCATCGGGAATATCTTTGCTTTCTTCCATGGGGAACGAGCAGACTCAGTTCTTCCTACCGGTTTGTGAACACTGACTGCTACACGACTTAAATGCATCACTGCTTTTAGTTTCCTTTTTCCCTGGCTGGGCCTATACGCTCTGCCAGAACCATGTCTTAGATCCATCCCACCATCTACAGGTCTACCTTCTATTTGAGCCCCTGCTCTCTGGCTTATACCTCTGCTCGAAGGACCTCTGCCTTGACTCATCCCCTGCAAATTATGAAAATGGAACTTGATTACAATTGGAAAGACGGTGGTTATGAAAACTCGTACCCTAAAACAAGTCAGTAGGAACAAATGGAACATTTTTTCCCAGCATCTAAACTAACTTACCCATTTTAGAAATAGCTTTTTACCAAAATTATGGGGAAAGTTTTACTTCTAGAATAGGCTGCAAGTGCACAACTACCATACTCTGCAACAGGGAAAAATACTGGCTCAGAAACGTTATCCCTTCTCATTTAATTAAAACCCACGTCATGGATTAAGAGTGTAGTATTTCTGAAAATTAGATTAGAAAAAAAGGAACATTTATGTCAACTTTCTTCTGGCTGCCACTGACATTTTAAAATTTCTTTACATTCAGTTGTGAACTTTATGATAAATGAGTTTAGGTGACTGCTTTTCTCAGTGGAAAATCACCAGTTATAGGCTGAATATTAGTAATACCCCATTTGGTTAACAATATAAAATGGAATTACCTAAGGCTATGTGGATTTTTCATTGAACAAGAAATCTACATTGAGGAAAAAATAGAGGTGGGTATTAAAAGAAACTCTGCAATTCCTTTTTATTTCTAGAAAAAAGGAAAGAGGTGCTGATGCAAAACTTTACCGGTCATCAGAAGGGCAAACAATGATTAGCAATGGGAGAGCCGCTTATTTGATCTATACAGAACACAATATTCTAATCAATTACAAAATGTATTTGACAAGGCTTAATGGTCCTTCACCTTGTTGCAGAGACAGAATCAACACACCAGAGACGCTCACCTCTTCCGCAGTCGATCCATGCGGGCTATAGTAGTAGCCACCATCGTTCTCCACCACGACTTCCCCGTACTCATCATACATCCCCGAAGGAGACAGCAATCGGCGGCGGCTCCCATACTGAGGCAGTTCGTACCTGGCAAAAACACCATTGTCTCTTCGTAACATGCACCAACGGCTTCACGTGTGTCTCCACACACAGCAGCAAATGCACGCACATCTCGAAAGGACAAGAATTTCTTTGCTCTTTTCTCTCTACCTTTGAGAAGATTATTATTTTTTTTTTCCTTAGCGGTAACACAGTCCAAAACCTCTTTCTATTGCATGGGCTGTAAGCCCGTTACAACTGGAGGGCGACCCGCATTGCCAGGTCTCTGGGATCAGTCAAGAACCCCCCAAGTGCAATGACCTTCTTTCCAGGTACCTGCTTTTTGGGGGGATCTTTTTTTAAATTGGGGGATGAAAGAGCAGGTTCCCTGGGATCGGTTCTGGAAATGCCTGCAAGCTTGTAAGAACAGCAACAATCCCTGAAGTGCTTTCAGTCAGATGGGCATTATCAGAACAAGGCAGGATAATGTTTTCTAGGTAAATGTAAAAGGCCAGACGCTGGCTGGGAACTGTGAGCAGAAAGTATCAGTCACTGAACTCAGGCCGGTGAGCCACAAAAGGGGAGGAGATGATGGAAATTAATTTCCAAGACAGCAGAAATATGCAAATAAAAAAGTGAATATAAACCCAGCATGACGGATGGGGTATACACTCTGTGGCATAATAATTAGATTCCTAAAGAAGTGGGGAGTTATACAACGCCCCCTTAACTTTTTAAAAGAGTTTTGTTGTCAGCACACGCCTTCGTGGACACAAAGATTAAAGTAATCCTGAGATGAAGGGAAGTCTCCAGATTAGATGCTGTAATAATAAACATCATCAACCTGGAAAAGCTTCATTTTCAGAAATACATAGGAAAAATGAAAATATACCCATGCTCATAACTGTAGTAATCTTGCCCATAGTATTCCTGCCCTGGATCAATTCCAGACTCCATACTTAACTCCTGTCAAAAGAGAAACACTGATTGAATGCAAGCAGTTATACACAGTAATGACTGATGAAAAAGGCGCAAAGAACAGTAGCTTACTGTGCAAACAAGCAAAATAAAAAATGATAATAATTTGAGGAACATTGACAACTGTCAAGAACCATAATGAGAAGCCAACACCAGCTTTAAATGACCCCTTCCCTGGTCTGTTCCCTGGGAGCGACTGTTCCAAGTCAGCTAAATGCAGACGCTGTTCTGGCGTGGGACCCTGTCTCACTCATCCTGTACAAAACCCTCATTCAGTAAACTGGACTCAAGGCAAATACGCTGTCACTTCTTGCGCCTCTCTCAAAAGAAAAAGCTGTATTGAAAGATCAGGGCTATTTTACTCGCTGTGTTTGTCAGGTCTCTGTTTTTAAAGTTTTCTCAACCATCAACAATCATGAGCGGCATGCGACTAAGCTAAGTCCTTGTCTGTATCCTATGAAAGCGCCAGCGTGTCCTGAAGCGGCTTTCACCTGCTGTTTAGTATTAGGCTGCTCTGTGGAATACCTCTGAACTGCAGGATCGACACAGAGAACCCAGGCTCGGGTTTTGGCAAGGGGCTGCATGTCGTCTCTATCTCACACCTTCCTAGAGGTTCTTCTCCAGTCCAATGAATTTAAAGTTGTGTCAGAGCATCTTGTAATTACTAATGACTGCAGAAACGACCACCATTCTGTACCACAAAAATACCATCGATAGCAGCGTCTCACAAAAGCTACAATTGCTCTATTGCTTATTCTGGAAACGATAGCGGGTCTAAAAGATTTGAAACAGAAAGCATTGCGTTTATAATCCAGAGCCGCCTTTGCACTTCACAGCAGTGTGCTAATGCTTCCATTATCTCGGCAGGCCAACTGCTTAATTCATCTCTAGGTACCATAATCAATTATCAGTTGACTGACATCTGAAAAAAACAGATCGCCGTTGGACAGCGAGGAAATTGTCCCGAAGCTAGGAAAGCTTTCAGTCTGTGTGATGAAGTCCATGGGAGCAACTGAAAGATGCTCAAGGGGAAAATACCAAGACGCAGTACATTTAAGGTATTTAATTAAAACAACATAAATGGGGTAACCATGTCAGGCCTTCCCTTTTCATGTAAAAGAGTCAGGGGGAAAAATATTACCTAAGACAGACAAGTTTTTTATTAGGAAATTATATAAAAGCCATTTAAAAGGTTATAGAATAATTAAGAAACAAAAAATAGTGGTACCTCTGGTCTGAGAAGAGAAGGTCTCAGCAACTGCTGTTGCTACAAAAGAAAATTAGAAAGGGGTTAATTAGGCAGTAACAATTAAAGTGCAGGTCATTTGTGTTTGAGTTAAAATTGGAAAGAAATCCTAACACCACGGGTCCTTCAGAGCCCTTTGCACAGCAGTCACCTGGATACTGCCATACTCAGTGAGGAGTAGAACGCTGCTAAGCACCTAAGGTAGTCACATCACTTACAGTCTGCTATTTCTTTTGCCTAATATAAATTCAAATTTCCTGTTTATGTGGCGATTCTTTAAATTATTTAACTAAAAACTTCTCTCAGAGCCCAAAAGAACTATTGCGTGGTGTATGTTGGAGACAGCAGGGAGACAACGGCAGACAAAAAATTATCTGCAACACGTAGAAAGCAAATCTATGGGAATCTGCAGGGAAGCCTGTGATTCAGCTATTAAAAACCTGAAGCGACTCAATTTCTTACCCGAGCTTCTACTGCAATACCATCACTTTAATTCTCTATCTATATTTATATAGTACTGTGGCTTTTAACTCAGTACCTCGCAACCACTTATAGACTTTAATTCACAATACCAATACGAGAGTGAAGGATTATCTCAACTGTTTTCTCTACAGCTTATGTGTGATTTCTTTCAGTATGCGGCATGCAGTGAGAAAAGCATGCTGACGTGAGGGAAGAGACCCCGGGAGGCTGCACGGAGAGGACCGACAGGACGCTACGGCTCCTCTCAGGTGTGTCACAGCTAAACATGGGTCATTTTTGGTACTCATGTTGTTCATTAATTAATGACAGACCGATGCACATCGCTTGCTGTTTTGTAAATTAGGATCAGATTTACTCGGGAAAATCAGTACCATTGTCCCTGCACTCCTCCCAAAATTTGGTGGCACTATTTCAGCCAATTTCTTGGCCAAAACCAAACCCTGAGAGATGGGGTCCGTGTCTGAATTAAGAGACACAAATCAGCTCTGCAAAAGGAGGAAAAATCATGGCAGAACAACAGAAAGCTTGCCATTTGTAAAACACTAGTGAATAAGGAGCAGTAGGCTCCAGAGGCACACCTTAAGATTAGCACAACTGATCCAGCTCTCAGGAGTAAATATCAGCCTTTATGATAGAAATGTATTTTGGAGAACTTTCCAACTATTAAATGAGTTCATTCAGATTTCTGAAGGAAACTCTCCATGTTTAGTGGTGGACTTGGCAGTGTTAGGTTAATGGTTGGACTGGATGAGCTTAAAGGTCTTTTCCAACCTAACCGATTCTATGATTCTGTGATTCTGTGTTACTCACTGCTGGAGAAAAAGATGCTGCAAGAGCAACAGACTGCACTGAGCTGCAGAGAAGGTCAGTGTAGTCCAGCACCAAGCCCATGGGAGTGGGCTGTGGCAGACAATTAGATGTGCCATAAGAAAACGCAGCAAGAGCAGAGGGAATTCCTTGGGAAAACGTTTTTGGCAGTTTGTCGAGCAGCAACCTCCTAGCGCGGAGGTTACGTTTGTGCCACGATGGTTGCCAGCCCCCAGTGAATCGATGCCTCATGAACTTTTTGCACCACTTTCTATTTCTGGCCTCTAAAACACCCAGTAGCGATGAGTTTCACAACATAGGCTGTATGGGAAAAACGTGTTGATGCGATTAATATTTTAAATGTAACTGGGGAACAGCCTTACCTCTTGCTGTGCATATCCTCGCCTACAAGTCAGAAAAAGGAAAAAAAAAAAAAATTAGTATACTTCTGTGAGACTATATAAAGATGCATATAGCCATTCTTTCTGGAGAGAGGTGAAAAGATAATGTAATTAGAAATATTGTTAGCAAGAAAAGAAATACATATCTACAGTACAAAATATGTTTTTCTTTAGATTTGCTCTGGAAATACAAATTATTGCATGAGAAAGGCTAGTGAGTCTTTGGGATCTTTTCTTGCTTTGGATTGCAAATGAATGAGAAGAAATCCCCAATCCCCAAAAGCCAGAGAGCCAGTGCACCCAGTGGAACACAGCCAAGGGAAAGGGGATGAACGCTGTGTTTGGTTTTCCTTGTGTCCCCATAAGAGAGGTCCAGCCCGGCCGCCTTCTCTGTTGTCTCAGAGACCACCTACAAAGAGATTCTTATTTCACACATCTGCTTAAGCAGTGAAACAGTCTCTCTTCTACTTCTGGACTTTCTGTATCCACTTGGGACTTGCTAGAAATTGGCCTGGAGGTTCTATTACTAATTTCTTGTAACAACATTATTATTAAAATTACACATTTCCTAACATCTCCTCTGCAGGGGGGGAGTTAAATTATTTTGGCTATCTATGATTATTTTGCCACAGGCTTTGTGCTTTTGATCTTATTGGAAAAATTTTGTTGTTGTTTTAATTCATTTTCTTGGACCCATTCATATGCATGACAAATGCACTTCTGTCTATCAAGTTCTCTATTTTCACAGTTTGTGCCAGAAAAATAAATTGGTTTAGACAGAACTAGGGAACAGCAACTTAAGTCTTAGCATTATTATTAAGGATAAGCCTGGGTTTTTAATTTTTTTTTTTTTTTTAAGAAGGAAAGGGTAAATGCTCAAAATTATGTTGAGCTTAACCTAGTACATAGACAGCAGTCTAGGAGAATTCTTTAATTACACTTGAGTAAATAATAAAGAACAGAGTAGGAGTCCTTTTAATTCTTTAATATCACCGTCTATTAAGTTTTCTATTAATATTCAGCACATGGAATTGATTATCAGCATTAAATTAATGCTGTTGCTTATATAATATAAAACTAATGAACAACTGAAATGAAGATTTATCATCAAAAGATGATATGTGACTTTTCAAAGCCCACTCGAGGAATACTGTATTTAGTTTCCATATCGCCTACGACAATCTTCAGATAAAGAAGGTCTTGCATTGCACAGAGGAAAACTAAGCCTATTACTCTTAATTGCTCTCGAGTAGTCACCATATTGCAGATTAAAAGCGTAATACAAGTAATTCTCATTCAATTTGGAATTCAACTTTCTCAAAAACAGCACCATGCTGTGTTTTGAGAGATGCTTATCCTTCTCTTATAGTTTTGTGTGGCCATGATTAGAAGGAAAAAAAGCCCCCAAAAGACAAAAAATACCCATTCACTCAATACAGCACAAGGATCTATTCTGGCAAAAAGGCAAAGGTCAAAACAGCGTCATTTGTTTGCAGGAAGGAAATAAAGCTCTCCACGGAGGGAGGAATTGCTTCTGGATAAACATTATCAGCCAGACTTCACTGCAGTCAGTCAGAGAGAAATCTTCAATGCAAAATGGGAAGCAAGGCCATAGTGCCTATGATGATGTAGGATAATATGACAGCTAGTATACACTGCTGGTACTTAACATGAAAGATAAAACAAGAATGAATTTACACGTACCAAATGTGCCGAACTTTCACAGGTCAGTATCGCTAACATAGGTTAAAGGAACTGTGATTTGCCTAAAACAACAATTTTCCCAATTACTGGCATCCCAGCAGGCATTTGCTACTTCATACTTTACATCTGTTTTCACATTCAAACCAAAAGCATCATAAATCCCAAGTAGTACAGATACTACGCAGAGAAGGCAACTGCTTATCAGTTTGCCCTGACTCCTAAAATGGAGGTTTCCTGCAGTTCATAGCTGGAACTGAGGAGAAAGAGTCTGGAAGGAAGATGAGTAACGCACGCTACTGCTCAATTTCAGCTTTGCAAACGGGTTTGCAAAGAAGCGCTCGCCACTGATGCCGTCTCTGCTCCTGCTCAGAACTCAACCCAGTCAAGCTGATGATGAAAGGGTAAGAGATATATCCAGGGTCACATCTGGCCCTAATTAACCAATTCAAATCTCTGTCTTAAGGGCTGATCCACCTTGAACATGCTTAGCACAGTAATTTCTCACGCTCATCTCTGCACACTTTCCACTGTCCCACTGTCTCCACGCCTGGCCCATGGCAGACATACAGAAGCAAGTACACGTGTAAGTTGTCTTCTGACTCTGGCTCTTAAATCTTCTCTACCTAATAGCTGCTGAACTTTGACAATTTGCTGCTGGTGCTGCAGTAGTGCCACTCTCGGAGAATTTAGCATCATCGGCAGGTATTCTACATGCGTGCATCTTGTAAATTATACAGATTCTGCTACAGCAAAAATGCTATGACCGACAATCATCCCCCTCACACATTTAGCTACTATATGTGTCATGGAACTACCATCTAGCCCAACAAGAGTTTTAAGGAAAGAAAAATTCTGCTGTATTATCAGCGAAACTTGTGTGATGGAGTTCACGGAGTTTGGCTCTGGGACAAAGAAAGAGAAACTACCTTCAGCAGTTTCCAGCTGAAGCATCCATGCATGTCCTTACTGCGGATTTAAAAAAAAGAAGAGAAAAGAGAAAAAGCCAAGCACCATGGAAATGCTGAGTATCTCTAGACAGTCTGATAAATACTTAATTACCTTTTTGCTCAGAATTACAACACTTGATATTGAACTAGGTTTTTAATTTTTCTTCATTACGTAGTATTTGCCTTTCCCAATATATTTTTAAAAATTGTAATTTTAAATACGAATATTTTGAATTTTGGCAAAAACTAAGAGGAAACTTGCAAGTTGAACCAAACTATCATTCAGTTAAATGCCAAACCTGCTTTTACTTACCATTTTTTTTTTCAAAGGACAAGCTAATTTACTATAATCGACATATTTAATGTAAAGGTCTGATTTAGATGACTGTGAGCAAAAAAGCCAGTAAGTAAATCCATATTACATGGATTTTTACAAGTACTTGAAAAATCTTCACTTGGTGACACTAGAGTGACTTTATTACAATTTAAGTGAGATGTTTCAGCTGTGAAGCTCATGGCAAACTAGCATGAAAGTTGAAGAGAGATGCCAACAACATGCACATGCAAAATAAAAAAACAAACAAATGCTTTGTACATTAAAGAAATTTACAAAATAAAAACTTTTAACATGCGGTTACAATATAAAAAAATGCACCAGAAGGCAGAACATAGGTAACAGGAGGGAAGACAGCCAGGTTTCCTGACAAATCAAGACAAACCCCTTCTTCTGACTTGAGATGCAAACGTGAGCTGAAAGCAAGCATGCCAGCTTAGCAGAGCGCTGCGTCATCTCTCACGGAATACGGTGATGCATTACTGCAATAACTCCGGCTCATGATTGCTGAGCCTGCTTACTACCAGTACTGGCTTGCTTTGACATTCAATATTTGACAGTAAGATTCCTCCCAGGTGGTACATTTTATGGGCAAAGCAAGAGATTCCAATTACAGCTGCAGAAAAATCGCTCTGCTTACTGATATTACCTACAGTGAAGGCTGCTTAACGTAAAGCAGTATCAAGCCCTCTGCTGTCTATGACAGTTTTCCCCAAGAATTTTTGGTAAACAGACTATGAACCAGCATCATAGAACAGTAAGATGTAGCTCTGAGAGAACAGCTCATAGAATTATTATACATTACAAATTTCCAAGTGAACAGGAAAGACAATGTCTCTCAATTTTGGGATTAGGACTGAGTAAGTAGTGATATACACCAGAGAAAGGGAAAAAGCCTGAATTTCTAGAGAGTCTGAGGCAGATACCATGTGCTGCATTAGAGTCGTCTCACTCAAAATGTTACATGCAGAAAACATCCGACTGTAAATATTACAGTGCTGTCGACTGAGACGGAAAGCGTTTCTCAAGCTCCTCCACAACACAGCTCAAGTTGCCATTCTGCTGGTTGTGCTCAGCCTCAGCTTCTGGGGTTGGCAGCTCGGGTGTTGCAACTGGTTTGAGCTTAGAAACGTGCTTGGGCAGAACGTGGTTTTTGTCTATTTGGCTGTACATGTTGGCCACAGACTTTTCGATCGCCGCTAAATTCTGAATGTTTTTAAGAATACCTTTCAGCTCCCTACGGGGAGGAGGCTCTGGCACTGTGGCCGGTGGTGGTACAGCTGGCTGTTTGGCAGGGGATTTTGAATGCTTGGCAGGGGAGAGGAGCTGGGTGCTAAGAGGAGATGAAGAAGACGAAACTGTGGGCAGAGGCGGAGGATGTGGTGGCAACAGAGGAGGGGATGGATGTGGTGGTGGAAGTGGAGGTGGCAGCAGTGGAGGTGGGGGTGGGGGAATTTTAGGCGGATCTGGAATGCTTTCTATAACTTCTTTGGTCTGAGGAGCTAGAAGACTTTGGCAAACTGATTTCTTTGTCCTAAAAGACGGAGGAGTTGGTTTGTGAGTTGGTGGAGGAGAAAGTTCTTCAGGGTAGCCGTGGTGAGTGATGATTACAGAGGGGACCGCAGAGGCCTCCGGTTCGACTACTTCAGCACAAGGTGTTGGAGAGGGCAGAGGAGAAGAGCGAAGGCAAGGAGAAGCAACCACACTTTTAGCAGACTGCTCTAGCACGTTCTCTCCTTCTTGGAAGCAGATGCTGTGCGTTGGCGATCGGATGGATTTCACATCAGGAGATTTCACTTGCTTCATTTCCTGCAAAGCCTGCTGCTCAAACTGTCTTGCCTTCTCTTTTACAGTTAACTTGGGGCCACTCATTTTTTGAAATAGCGGACTGCTAATATCGACACTGCTCTGCTGACTTTCAGTTCCTTCATTCTCTGCTTTGAGTCTCTCCTGTTGCCACTGAACGGGGTCCATGATGACTGGTCTGCTCAGAGAACCAGGCGCGTGTCTCTTAGTAAC